AATAATATTTTAGCTTCTTCAATTATTTCATGTGTTGCTTTTGCATTCGTAAAATGATGATCGGCCAAGTACAAAAATACAATATTGATCACGTCTTATTTGATCCATATGTTCATCAGCTAATTGTTGTGCTGCTCTACATAGAATCTTTGATTTTTAATAGAATAAAAACTATAGAATAAATAATCTCACGTTTGAAATGATACAACATTCTGAATACTTCGTTCAATTTCATATATATCTCCATTTGCTAATCAAACAGTTGTTGTAAAACCATCTGAATAAAGTTGTCATGCTCGACAAATATTTAAAATTGAAATTCTAACAAATTGACATAATTCTTGTTTAATATCAGAATTTAATCGTGATTGAAAACCATTTAATAATTGTTTTAAATTATTCCATGAAAGACATTCAGCAAATATTTGTATAATACATGTAAATGCTGCTGTTGTTTGTTGGAATTATTGTATAAAATTTTTTGTATATTAATATTTTTTTTTTATTATATCATTTATTGACTTTTCAGATAATAAATCATTAAGAATAAGTACTAGAAAAAATCGTGCATAACGTGATACATCTAATTTTTCTTCATATTGACGTTTTTCAATAGGTAATGATGCTGTTCTTTTTTTTTTTTTTTTTTATAAACAACCATTGCATTAACACCAACTATATGTGTAACATGTTTTTCAACAGCACCAGTTGACCAAACAGTATGGTATATATATTCCAATCAAGTGTTGTTAATATTGAACTGATTAAATATTGAGGAATGATCTGAATTTATTTATATTAGATCCAATTTATATATATATATATATTTTATTTATTTTTTTTTTGATGAAATGTAACTTTCGAGATAAATAAGATGTAAATCGTTTTCAATACATAGATTTCGTTGAGCTTTAATTCAATTCGACAATAAGTTTAAGTCCATCATTCGGATTGATGGATGAACTGATAACTACTAAAGCAAGTTGTATTGGTTCATAAGGTAAATTATTTTCATTATCAATATTTTCCTTATCTATACAATGAATAAGTTCATTATCATATAACTAATTAAGACATTTATCAATAGTTAATTGTTCATCAATTATTGATTTATATCTGAATTTAAACAACAAATATAGAAAAAAGTTGAGTTTAATAAAAGAAATAATTTGTTCTTTAGTATTTGCTTTTCTACTTGTAATAGTTTCAAGTAAAGCTCGTTTAAAACTTGTATGTGTTTCTGTTTAAAAAAACAAAAACAACTACGTATTTATTGATTTTAGTTTTTGTTGTTCAAACATTTTTTGTACAAGATCAACTTCTTTTTTTCGAACAAATCAAAATACTTTCCGCTAATATTAAAAAAAATAATTGAAATACAAATTTAATAATAAGTATTTTTTTTGTTTTTACCATAATCATCATAGCCTTTTCGTCTTGCTCGATCAACCTGAAAACATAAATTTTTATACGTAAACAAATTAATGTAAGCATACTATTTGATGATAAGTATTGAGATGAATACAACGATCATTTTCGAGTGCACTTCGAATAATAACTAAACAAGTAGGAAGATTAACTTAATCAGATAAAACATTACAACTATATTCGACTGAAAATTTATGATCTTCAATATTGATAATAGTTTCATTACGATATGATTCTCATCTAAAACTCAAGGAAAAGTTTTTCAATTAAATGTATGTATTGACACTGTTACTTCATTGAATAGTTTATGATAACCATAATAATAGCTGTCTTAGATCATATCAAGTTATTAAGAAAATTGAAAGTTATGAATTATTATCTAATGTAATCAACTATATATGTTAGATCTTGATTTAGTAATACTCATGAACCGACTACTTTATTTGAAATTACTTGTTTCTTAAACCGAGAATAAACTGTCTTGTTTATGAACACTTTTCAATCGGCTTTAGATATTCAATGAGCGAAATAAGTGATCTACGTTTATCACAATAAACTTTTCTTAAATAGATTTTATTCAACTAGCTAATGTATTTGTACAAACAATAACACAAATAACATTCACACGATAAGCATTTTCAATTAATTCTCTTTTATCAATTGTCAAACCTGAAATATTGATATATATTCAATCATTATATAACAAAAAGCTTTTCTTTCTACCAGCATGATGAAAAGCAATACCCATTGGTATTAAACAAGCTAGTTCAGAATCAAGACCAACCGGCTAGAAAAAAAAATAAATAAATAATAAATCAAAAAGTTTTTTGTCTTAATTTCCTTACAGTATGACGTAATTGTTCAATAACATCATTAACTTTTATTGCGTTAAATCGATTTATTTTTTTTTATCCTGAATAATACATCGAAATTTTTTAGCTAATAATTTTGCTAAAACTTCACATCAATGTTTAGTTGAACAAAAAATAAGTACACAATAATAATTTATTTCTATAACATTCCAGATAATTTCTTTTATATGTTCACTATCACTTTGATTCTATCGATCAGATAAATGAAGTTCTCGTATAGAAATAAATTGTTTATTATATAATATTCTATCAATTTTAATATATTCTTCAAGTGATATTGGACGAAATATTGTTTCATAAACTTCAATGTCAAACCATTGTGCTAATTGATTTAAACTAGGTATTGTCGCACTCATATCAATAATTTTTACAGAATTATTTGTTGTTATTTTTAAATAATTATAGTAAATTATTTTACTTAATAATAATTCAAGTGAATAACCATGATTTAATTCATCAATCCAATATAATTCATCAACAATAATAATACCTATTTCATTTAAATCATCACAATTTGATAAAAAATAATTTATTATACTATTAGCTTTTTCAATAGTACATATTATTATATGACTATTAGAATAGGAATGATAAGAATCACTTGTATCAGCATAGGATACAATATGTAAATGAAGTGAAGAAAAAAAGTTTCTAAAATTCATTTTATGAATTTTGATTAATAAAGAAAAAAAACTTACTCGAAAATAATTCGCTTTTTTTTTTTTGAACATTACTGACATATAATTCAATAAATAAAGCTTTTCGTTTTGTTTCAAGCACTGATTTGATAAGAAGTAATTCAGATACGATTGTTTTGCCTGTTGATACTAAAAGTCAAATTAAATTTGATAAAAATGAAAAAAAAAATATTTCTTTTTAAAGCAAATCCGAAACAGAAAAGATAAAATTTCGTTTTCCTATTGATAAAATTTGAATTTTATTTTAAATGAAAATATTTACTACTTGAATTTGCTTTTTCAAGACAATCAGCTTGCCAAGCAAAAAGATGTAATATACCAGAACGTTGATAATAAGCAATCACTGCTGGCGGTAGTTTAAGTTCAGTTATTGGTTTTTCTCGGTTTTTCTAAAGAATAAAATATTTAGTAAATATAATAAATAACAAAAGAAGAATTTACCGACAATTGATGGAGGAGCTGGTCCATAAAAAGATGTTTCTGCAACTGCTGCTAATAATGAATCACTGAATGAATCCATCAGAAATGAATTAGATGTGGCCATTGGTATCTAAAATTTAAAATTGCCTCTTCATCTACTTATCTCTTAACCGGTTTTTTTTGAGTAACTAGTGACAATCATTGTATAAGAAATAATCTTAGTCGATGATTAACTATGAAAACTAACATATAAGATTTTTTATTTTTCATTTGTATCAGATGCACATGACGCCTAAAAGAAAAAAACAACAACAACAATAAAAAAAAAAAAAAAAGAAATGAAATATAATAAACAAATTCATATCTGACAAAACTGATAAATTAAACAATTTGTAATGTATTTGCATATGTTTGTAAAACATTTAATATATGTTGCATACCAATTGTATTTGAATGTAACCCATCATTTGATAAATGTATCGTTAAATTAAAATTTAATTTAATTATTTTAAACGCTTTGATTTAATTTTCTTATTTTTCTTAATTTTTTTTATATTTTTTATTATATTGTTTAATACATTTACGTATTGATTTCTCTCCATTATCACCATATATTCGATAAAAAATAGTTGCTTTTGGGGTGTGGGTGGGGGTGTGGATGTGGGTGGGTGTGGGTGTGGGGTGTGGGTGTGGGTGTGGGTGTGGGTGTGGGGTGGGTGTGGGTGTGGGTGTGGGGTGTGGGTGTGGGTGTGGGGTGTGGGTGTGTGGGTGTGCGTGTGCGTGTGGGTGTGGGTGTGAATTTGGATGTGGGTGTGAGTGGGAGTGCGAGCATCGTTTAAGAGATGGTAGACACCCACACACGCAGTTGCAGCCATACCCACACCCTAGAAATCTTCTATTTAATTTAAAATAAATCTAGGAAAATTCTGTTAAATGAACGTGCCATCAATCTATAGATTTCTCATATAATTATTTCATTGAGAATGTTTTCAAATTCATTATATCTTTTATAAATGAAATATATTTAAACAAAAACTATTTTATTTATTTATTAGAAAAGAAAGATAAACATTATTTCATGTCGATCTCTCTATGAGAAGACTGTTATTTATATAGTGGCAAGTTGGGCATATATGTATACACACTAAAATAAAATGTGTCGTATATATGTGTCGTACAAGAATGTGTCGCAGACTCCATTACAAAAATGTGTCGTACAAAAATGTGTCGCATTATAGATGTGTCATAGCCTATATGTCAATCGTTCATTCACCGATTTGTTTCGCGAGTGCAGCCACATATAACCGAGCCTATTGGACGTACTTGACTTATACATTTTCGTATGTGTTTTTTTTTCTAGATTATTTCTCGACCATTTATTATTCGAGAACATGTCGAGAGGTCGCTAGATGATCGAGAATGGACTGCCTCGAAGTAGTCTGATCGAGATCAAATGGTCTCGAGGTAGCTAGATCTTAAGATCTACCGTCTCGAACTCCAAGAATAGGTGCTACTGTTTGAAATTAACTGAAAAAATAGTAACTATTCGAATTTTCAAAAAAAAATAATCCTCGTGCCGAAAAATGGATTCGAACCACGTGTTAAAAATGTGTCGCATGTGTCGCACGTCCGCTGGAAGAAATGTGTCGCAACGAGCTCCTCGTGTCGCATATTAATGTGTCGTACATTGTGTCGCAAAGTGCGACACATGCGACACATTTTATCTTAGTGTGATACTGCCAAAGAACAAAGTGAAAAAAAACAAAACAATTAAATACAATAAAAATAAAGTTAAAGATATTCTTTTATAGTCATTTTTGGGCACTTTAAACGCGCAGTTGTAAGTTAAGAGAATAAATTGGCACGATGGTGGAATAATAAACAAAATGTTCACCAACAGTGCTAACATTGTATAAATGAAGAGTCACAGCAGCGTCCAGCCTAAAATAAAAAAGTTGTGCTGGACGTGCCGTGGCGAATCGCCGATTGAGTCACGTACTTCAGCTTAAATGTAAACGGAAAGAGATAGATCAGCTGTATGTGCCATGACTCCAGGCCGTTGGGTCACACGTACAGCGTAATCCACTCTACATGTTGAATGCCAAGACATCCAACACGAGGAATTTGCCTTCTCGGCTTTGGTGTCACTTGACACAAGTTTTGTGCCTTTTCAGCTTTGGTGTCACTTGACACAACTGGTTTGCCTTCTCGGCTCTGGTGTCACTTGATACGACTGTCTTGCCTTCTCGGCTCTGGTGTCACTTGACACAACTGTTTTGCCTTCCTGGCTCTGGTGTCACTTGACACGACTAGTTTGCACTTAGTATGTTAAATTCGCCTTTATCCGGGATAAACTATTTAGGATCAGCTATATAATATTTATAATGGGAAATGGGTGGGCGGGTATTGAAAAGTTAACTTAAACAAATGTTGAAGTTTTAACAAATTAAACAGGATTATATGAATAGCTTTTCACTGAATTAGAGCACGAGAAGATGATAATGAATAACAACTAAGCTACACATGATAATGAACTTCCAGCTGAAACGAGCGCTATATTGAATAATAGAACAGATAATTAAAACAAAAATAGTCGAGCATACATGAATCTTCTTTAATACATCGTTATCTCGCCATTAAAGAGTTATTTAGTTAGAACTTTATTGACATCATACAGATCTACATAAGAAAAAATCGACAAATATTGTGATCTTTCATCTTTCTATTAAGAAAAATTCTTTTTCTTATTTCATTGATTAGATCTCAATTGAAAGAGATGTTGTTTGTCGAAAAATAATCACAGTTTTATTTCTCGAATGTTTATCAATGAGCAATCAGAGAGGAAAGGTAATTAATCATATGCTCATTGTGAGTATTTTATTTTCATGAAAAATATTCAAATAATATGTGATGATAAATAGTTTTCTTTATAATTTGATTAATCAGATACCTTTCGATGTATATTGATGATAGATTAAAATACATTATTTTTAACTATAATTCTACTGGCTGATGATCGATTAGAAATAAATCAACTTGTCTTGATAATAAGTAGAGAAAACATTAGTCTATCTTTCCAATTTCTACCATTTGTTTCATTTATTCATATTAATTAGAAAGAAAACCAGACAGGACATCATTACTTCTGTGTATAGGTGAAATATATTCTAATTGTATTCTATTGGTGCTCGAATGAACTCTTATATTGTCGAATCTTTGAGTTTTGCCTTTTCTATTTGTGTCAATCATTAACACTTAGTTTTTTTATGACATTTTCTTTTTTGGATAATATAAATTTTGTCGTAAGTTTTCGTTAGATTTATAATGGTAATTGTTCATTTCATATTCTGTCTTTATCCTCATCGTCAACATTGTACAATATGATGATTTTATTGATTCAATATATTATTTTGATTTTCATCCAGTTTATGATGAGAATCTTATTAAATGAATGAATTTCTAAGAAGATACGTCTCATTCCAGGAAATAGAATCTTTTCGAATCATCTCGGATCAACAGACCCTTGGAATCATAGAATTAGTTGTTTGCTTCTTGCGAATTCCTTTTAATAAAAATATTTAATATGATGACAATAGTTCTTTCTATCGTATTGATTTTGTTATATGAGGATGAATTCATATTTTCAATGATTTATTTTAGGTTTATAATCGTATCATCATAATTTATTCTACTTGATATAAACTTGTGTCTAACAATATAGAAAAATGCCATCGTGTTTTCG